ATCCACGTGTTCGAATTCCGTTTGCTGTGTGAGCTGTATTGGGAATTTGGGATACAACACGGCTTTGAATTAAAACACTAACGAATATTGAACACTACTTAATTACGTTTTAATTAACAGCTATTAGGCTTTTAATTAAGCAAATTTCAATTTTTGTACAAAGCTTTGAACGATCTGTGTGTGTCCAATTCAAGTTGTGTCGGAATTAGTTTTCATGTGTCTAAATCCAACATCTCAACTTAATCATCTATTAATTTATTTACGACTTGAAATCAGCGAATACAAGTATACTTAAAGGATTCCTAATGTATTCACAGACGTATTTAAAAGTCTCAAACCATAATATTCTTCCTATAAAAACAGTTATTCACTATTTGGTAGAGCCATGTCAACTGTCAAATTTGACACATTTTTTGATGATCTCACCACGTGGCATGCATTGTCTCTCTTTGGATCTCAATATTTTCCCACTAGATACCAAGACCTAGTGTTTTTGCAGTATTTCGACACGCAAATGTATGACGTCACCATTTCAACCATCAATGAACACATGAAACTAAAACAAAGCTTAATATAAAGGAAAAGCTGGAGAGGTGACGGAATTACCTACGATGTCGGAATATACCGTGTTTACCCTAACATGAGAAAATGTATCAAAAAACCAACAACATGAGTATGTTACTTACACCTTTTGACTGCAGTGAAAATTGATACACTGAGCTCCTCAGAAACTGCCATGCTTATGAAATTGCGTTTGCGCGTGGTTTGAAATCCAATACCGTAAAATGGCGGGATAACTTTAACCACTTTTTGTTTTTTTAACAAAAACCCCCAAAACTCAAAAACTATTTGACATAGAAAAACTATGTCAATGGCCATCAAAGGCCTAATACTGAGGCTACTTAACACAATAGAAAAAATGTAAAAAGTTTGCATATCTAATAGGTTGAAAAATTGATAATGTGACCCACAAAAAAGTCTTCCCCCATTGGGGGTGCCGTCCCCCAATGGGGGAACTTTGATCACCTAATGGCAGCCATGATGGGGTAACATTGACCGGCCTGGAAATAAAGTTAAAATTACCATAGGTACCTATATAACATATTTTATGTTTGATACACCTATTAATGTTTTTTCTTTATGTTTCAGACTCTACTGAGTCTTATATATGGTAATTTTAACTTAATTTCCAAGCCGGTCAATGTTACCCCATCACGGCTGTCTTTAGGTCTAGGTGGTCACATTTCGCCCATTGGGGGGGCGGCGCCCCCAATTTGCAAACTATGACACTTCCCACAAATTTGTCATTTGCATATGTAACTAGAAGAGTTCTACTGTTTACAATGCACCAAAACCTGGAGTTATTTGGAGTTATTTTACCAAAAAATAAAATTGATTTTACCACCCAGTCAAAGAAACCCCCAAGAGCTGGGGTAACAAAGACCATCACTTTTTTTGAAATTACATCAAAACTATGAGAGGCAGGAGCCAGCAATTTATGGTGAGTAAAGCTAGAGTATAGACCTGTATTTTGCATGTTTCAATTTAAGTTTAACTTCTCTAGTAAAAAAAATGGCATCATTTTGAAAAAAAAGTGGTCAAAGTTACCCCATTTTACGTTACCCGAATACCGTGTTGGCAACGCCTCCCAGCAGTCCCAGGGACCCAGTCCTGGACTCCCTCAATTAAGGTTACTAGTCATTTCATATCAAGTTCACTAGTCATTCAATCGTATCCACCTTAGCAAAAAATTCTCAAGATTTGGACAATACCAACAAAGTAAAATTTTCATCTATACATCCTAAATAAATGACAATGATTGGATTTGATTTCATTTTATGAACTTAGGTTTATACGTGGTAATAGAAATGTCCCTACTATTTCAGAAACTGTTATTGAATACACTTATGAAAACTAAATTTCTATTATCAATGGAGTCTTGGAAATAACAAAATCATTAAATTTATAATATTCAGCTATATAGATCTTGTTAGCAATAGGAGAGGAAGTAATTCAACTACCGTAAAATGGGGTAACTTAGACCGGCGGGGTAACTTAGACCACTTTTTGTTTTTTTAACAAAAACCCCCAAAACTCAAACTATTTGACAGAGAAAAATGTTGTCAATGGCCATCAAAGGCCTAATACTGAGGCTACGTAACACAATAGAAATATTTAAAAAGTTTGCATATGAGTGACAGTGTGAGCATATCTATTATCTAATAGGTCAAAAAATTAATAATGTGACCCACAAAAAAGTCGTCCCCCATTGGGGGCGCTGCCCCCCAATGGGAGAACTTTGACCACCTAATGGCAGCTGTGACGGGGTAACATTGACCGGCCTGGAAATTAATTTAAATTTACCATAGGTACCATATAACGTATTTTAGGTTTGATACACCTATTAATGTTTTTTTCTTCATGTTTGACTCTACAGTCTTATATATGGTAATTTTAACTTAATTTCCAAGCCGGTAAATGTTACCCCATCACGGCTGCCATTAGGTCTAGGTGGTCACATTTCGCCCATTGAGGGACAGCGCCCCCAATTTGCAATCAATGACACTTCCCACAAATTTGTCATTTGCATATGTAACTAGGAGAGTTCTACTACAATGCACCAAAACTTGGAGTTATTTGGAGTTATTTTACCAAAAATTAGAATTGATTTTACCACCCGGTCAAAGAAACTCCAAGAGCTGGGGTAACAAAGACCATCACTTTTTTTGAAATTACATCAAAACTATGAGAGGCAGGAGCCAGCAATTTATGGTGAGTAAAGCTAGAGTATAGACCTGTATTTTGCATGTTTCAATTTAAGTTTAACTTATCTAGTAAAAAATGGCATCATTTTGATAAAAAAGTGGTCAAAGTTACCCCATTTTACGGTACCTGAATACTGTGTTGGCAACGCCTCCCAGCAGTCCCAGGGACCCAGTCCTGGGCTCCCTCAATCAAGTTAACTAGTTGTTTCATATCAAGTTCACTAGTTGTTCAATCATATCCACCTTTGTGAAAAATTCTCACAATTTGGACAATACCAACAAAGTTTTCAATATTGCACAAAATTATGAGATAAACTGTCACTCTTCCTCTGCGTACTAGCACAGTGTGCCGTGTGGGCTGTGTGGCAGTGCTTCCATGAAAACATTTGTCACATGGTGGCAGGAGTGGAATTTTCCTAGTTGTTTCTGAAATCTTGTGGCTCCAACACGACAAATTTTTAATACAATTGGAATCTTGTGTCCCAATTGTGCATTTTTGTTAACAATTAGATAGGATGTAATTCATCTGATGAAAATCTCTTGGTTCCAGAAATGGGAAACCCCTAGTCATGGCCCCAAAGGTAGATGTTTTCCATGCTTGCATGGTGGTGTCACACACTTTTGTTTGGTTCTGTCTAGTTTGATTTCACAATAAATGGATTTGATCCACATTCCATACTGAGATTTAAATGATGGCAAAGTTGTTTCAAACTATAAACACCCATTGATATGCATCCAGATATGAATCTTTTCATATTTTTGCCCTATTTTGATGATATTGTCTAAATAACTTCCCTTCATATTCCAAATGATTTCATCTCCCATCATGAGTTTTCAAACGTCTCGTGTCTTTTAGAAAATGTTGGTTGTTTAGAAGCAGTAATTATTTTATTTTATTTTTCAAGTGAAAAAAGTTTAGTCATATAACATGTGGCCGTGTATTTATATTTAACAGCGGTGAAACCATTTAATCCCAAAAATTTGTGTACAAGTATTTAAAATTCATAATTTGATACATGAACAAAATAGATAATCAATTTTATCTATCAATTAATACAATGCAAAAGTTAATGATCAGTTATAAATATATGGAAAAATTATTTGAAATGGTTTCACAACTTGAAGGAACAGCCCCTAAACAAGTAAGCATGAGGTATTTGTGATTCTAATGATCAACGTTGGCTGAGATTATATTGACCAGTCAGTGGCAGAACAATTCGACACAATGGCGGCAATCCAACGGTTGCCGCTGAGGTTGCTTTGAACAGCCTTGGCACATATTTCTAAAGCTAATAAGCATCGCAGGAACAGAGGTAAAATTTTCATCTATACATCCTAAATAAATGACAATGATTGGATTTGGTAAGTATTTTATGAACTTGGGTTTATACATGGTAATAGAAATGTCCCTACTATTTCAGAAACTGTTCTGGAATACGCTTATGAAAACTAAAGTTCTGTCATCAATGGAGTCTTGGAAATAACAAAATCATTAAATTAAAAATATTCAGCTATATATAGATCTTATTAACAATAGGAGAGGAAGTAATTCAACTACCTTCAATGCTGATAGCCTCCGTGACAGCACTGAAGTTGCCAGCTTTCAATAGGAATGAATTCTTTTATAAACAAAACTAAACCACATCTTTCTAGTGCAGTTTAAAGTGTTTTTTGTATGTGGCAATTAAACCCATCAAGTTGTAATTCTGACCAGTATTATATGTATGGTTTTAGTGATGAGTTGCAAGATAGGCATGGGAATTTGTTATCTATGGGAATTTGTTATCTATGGGAATTTAGTTATAATTTAGAAGGTTTTTGGTTATATATAACTGAAGTTATGTATGTATGTAAACTGTGAATTCTAATAGTTTTTCAACCACTAGAATTTTTTTCAATCAAAGCACTTCATGACTCTTGCTCTTAATACACTTATTGATTGAACTGGTCTAGCCATGCTGTCTACAGTGAACTTTTCCTACAGTCCTGTTCATAGTTTGACTGTTATGTTTGACTGTTATGTTTTTACTTTGGAATTGCATGATTTTCACCTTATAAGCACTTGATCTAGACTAAGAGCACTCAAACTCAATTAAGATCTAGCTATAGGTCATGTATAATTTTGAAGCATGTTTTGTTCTTTATGGAACATGCATAAATTTATCATTGTTATTACAGGTATTTATATATATATATATATATTGTGTACTGTTATTAACCTCTAACTTGTTTACAAGTTTCAGAAACCTATTACTTGCTGCAATTAGATGCATAATTGTTTTTTGCTTCATTTGGATGCCAACAAACGGATGCACAATTGTTGTAGCTTTGAAAAAAATTAGATTTTTCAATATTTAGGGATTGTATTGTTGCTTCACTTGCCTGCTGTCAACGAGTTAATGCAGCGTGCTACTCCCATCATGGAGGTAATGATATTGTGCTATATCTTTCTAAAGACTTGTCTCGTATCTATTAACTTGGGTATTTTTTTTGTTAATCAAGACAATATTTATATATTTATCTAACCAAAAATCTGCTTTCTAGACCCACTTAGTGGTTTAGCATTGATGAGTCTACATGTTTTTGAAATGCTTTAAATGAAATGTTTTGTGCATCCTTCTTGCACCTCAGAAATTTTCAAATTTCTCAGCTCTATAATAAAGGTGCTATTGTACTTTTGTTGTACTTATATTGTCTCAAGTGATTTTTATCCTGCCATTTGTATAAAATATAATTTTGTATTTAAAATAGTAATATATCATGCTATATCTTGCCTGATATGTTCCAAAATATTATTTCCAGCTCCCTGGGCAGCTTGGACTGTCCGAGATGATAAATGCTATGGCTGCAAACCAGCCAATTTATGCTGTGCAAACCACACCTGGGCCATACCCTCTTGAGGCTCTTGCTCAGTATCCTCATTCCTACATGCAGCAGGTGAGATCTCTGCTCAGTATCCTCATTCCTACATGAAGCAGCTGGGATTCTGTTCAGTATCATTTGCTTTGAGCCTTTTTCTAACACAATATTTCAAATAACACAATATTTCAAAATGTTTCTTAAAGCTTTGGTTCACAAATAAATTGAACTATTAGCTTTGCAATCAAATGCTGTATTAGTTTTAGACATGATTTACATTAAGAGTGTAGAAAAGTTATTAAAAAAAATTAATATTTAAAAATATTAAAAAAAATATTAAAATCTCATGCTTTGTTCCTCATTTTGCGGTAGGGCCCCTTCCTGACGCCAGTGTCTGGAGCAACAGCCCTGCACCCGGGTGTTCTCACCCGCAGCCACCCTGGTCTCACAGCCCCTGCCCACCACCCAGCCCTCAGAGCTCAATTGCCTGGTAATTTGTCTGATTTTCATCTGAACAAATATTGTTAGGGGCACTCCTAACCTTCTAGCTTTAAAGGCCCGGTACAACCAATATAGTATTGGCTTTTATCAAGCGGAAAACTAGTTAAAGTACCTAACAGCAGGACAAATGAAACACAATACCAATCCAGCTAAATGAACTCGCAACCAAGAAGACAGACGAGATATACATTGAGATGATATGCATATATGATGGTGAGGAGTTAGTGGGGTGAATGAATGGGACATAAACAGTCTCAAGTTGAATTATTATTTACTTAACTGAATTTCCTATCAGGTACAGGGCTACCATTGTGAAAAGTTTATGGTTATAGTATTTTGTTGGACGAAATGCTTCCTACTTGCATTGAATTTAATTATTTAGTTTAGAAATGTATAAAAATGTTTGGTAGAATTCAAGCCAATGAAAGTAAAAGTTTCAATTCAATTGAATGTTCCTGTTTATGTGTTGTATATATATGCTTTTTAGGATGGACTTGATATTTTAGTGTTATTCTCATCGGTATTCAGTACTGAGATTTGAATTGTTAATTTATTGTATTCCTGCTGCTTTCTCTCATGAAAAAATTACTGTTTTTCTCTTGAAATTTTTACTAAAAAAATGTTTCATATTAATAAGGGAGCAAAGAATTATTCTAATATGATAAAAGTGATATGTAATTTCACAGAGTAATTTCTGAATATGTACATATTACATATTCAGAAATTACCATTTTCAGCCATGTACATATTAAATTTACTCCACTATAGGGCTTATCATGATTGAAAATCTTTATTTTCATTCAGATTTTATATGCCAAGCATAAAATTTTTTGTCTGGAGTATTCCAATCATTGTGACTTGCAGTAGATGAATAACCAGCACCAAATAGTCACATATAAAATATTAGTTATGTGCTAACTGTCTTTGTAGTGTCTGGTTTGTGCTCTCTGTCAATGCAAGCCTTTTAACATATTCGTATATCAGAGCCATGAAATAAACTTCCACCCTGGAAATGCTCATATTCTCTCTTTGATGGAATCCCCATGTAAATAATGAATGGCAGTATCTATAACAAAACTGCATGTCTGCATCATTACTCTATCTCGGATGCTAGGAGTACACAAATTAGACCAAAGCTTTCACAATGTGTGCTTCTGCCTTAAAATTGTGAATGAGTTCATTTCTGTGCAAATAACTTCAAATGTAACGTAAATTTGGCCAGTTCTGTGCATGTTCTGGCTTTATATATTGGATATGATGCTGTTGGTCAATGACTGCAATGTAAAGTGCTTGATATTCTACATACTTCTCCTTGTATTTAGTTGTTTTAGTAGGACTTGAATCTACGTCTAAGTTGCTGTAAACAATGTTATGCATGTGCTCTAAAAGCAACTGCACCTTGATGTCCTGAATACAATGCAGGGAATAATATTTTATTATGCTTGGATAAATAAAAATGTTATGTATTCCATGCTTATCGATATTAATACTACTTTACAACTAGATGCTTGTTTCAAATAATATTCATTCTTGAATAATAAGAATAATTAGTTTGAAATGGGGGAAATATGCATGATTGCAAAATAAATGTATACCTTTGTTGTGGTCATGTTGAATGCTTGGGAATGTTTTCAGGGTTATTTAGCAAATTACTGTGAAAGCAAATTTTAATTCCTGTGTGAACTTCACTGTATCCAACAAGCGATCCTGTCAGTGTCAGGAGGAGTCCACCCTGACGCCAACGGTGGCTATCCGCCACATCCACGGCTCATGGCTGACAGCGCTCTTGCTGAACATCTCCATCATCAACAACAACAACAGCAGCAGCAACAACAACAACAACAACCGCCGACTCTTGAAGAAATACAATCAGAGCGCAGGAGTCGGTCAGAGCAGAGAGAAGGTAGCGCAGGGTCTGGGGGCAGACGTGACAGAGAGTTCTCTGAAGAACATCAGCCTGCTGACAGAGACCGCAGAAGTGACCGTAGCCGTGAGCATCGAAGAGACCGCGACCACAGGTAAGCTTTGTAGTGGAATGGAATTATCAATGTAATAATATTAATTATTATTGTATTTTGTAATGGAATGCTGTAGGCTGTGACAAGCTTTATCCATAAAACTCTACATGCAGGGACTGGTAAAGTCCATATAAAAATTAGCTCTTAACAAGTGCCCTGGCCTTCACAATTTTAGTACTCAGGCCTTATCAATATTATATATGATATAAGAGTTTTTTCCACTCACATATTGTAAAATTTTTAATTGAATCTTCAGGGATAGGCGGGATCGGAGAGATCACAGAGATCGTAACCGGGATCGGGATCACGATCGCAACCGTTCACGCGATCGCAGCGATTCTGACCGAGACAGAGACCGTGACCGAGATCGTCGTGACCGGTACAGAGACGACGAGAGGAGCAGCAGCCCCAAGATGCGTGGAGATCGCCACTCTGAGCACCACGACCGCGACTAGTGAGAATAAAATACCCAGGTTCCCCTTCTTGGGAAGTTTAAATTCCCTTTCTTGAGAACTTTAAATTCCCCTCCTTGGGAACTTTGAATTCCCCTTCTTGAGAACTTTGAATTCCCCTTCTAGAAAAACTTCGAATCCTCTCCTTTGATTCAGTGCCCAAAACGAAGGGCTTGATTGGATAAGTTAAAAGAAGTTCCAGGATTTCGGTGATATCAAAACTTTAAGTCCTATCACCTTGGTTTATAGCAGTACTGTACGTTATAACCTCGGGTTGATGCCGTCTTTGGCCAACTTACAATTCAAGGCAGTTTAAGAGTTTGGCATCTGAATCACTACTTTGAAAAGGCGTTAATGTACATTGTTTTTAACCAAAAACAGTAAATCAATGTACAATTTTCGACTAGGAATGAATTATTTTGTAGGGAATGTAATTATTATATTTCAACACTGATTGTGTGGCTTGTATTGAAGTAATGAATGGTCTGTTTAGCCTTGAATACTGCGATTGTGTGGCTTGTATTGAAGTAATGAATGGTCTGTTTAGCCTTGAATACTGCGATTGTGTGGCTTGTATTGAAGTAATGAATGATCTGTTTAGCCTTGAANACTCACCCAGCCCATCACCGAGAACGATGTGAGACGTCGTTAAGTTTCTGTTTTTAGTTTAGTTTTGGTGTGGAAGGCTAGGTTTATATAAGAACATTGATTTGAATGCAAGCAGTTTTACTGTGTAAATCAAATATGGTGTGCTACATCACCCAGCCCATCACCGAGAACGATGTGAGACGTCGTAAATTTTCTATTTTTAGTTTAGTTTTGGTGTGAAAGAAGAATAAAGGATGTGAAAGGAGAAGTTTATATAAGAACATTGATTTGAATGCAAGCAGTTTTATTGGGTAAATCAGACATGGTGTGCTGCATAACCCAGCCCATCACCGAAAACGATGCGAGACCAGGTCATGTTTTACTTTTAGTTTCGTTTTTGGTTTAGAGATTGGGCTTGCCATATGATGGCGAAATACGGCCAAATCCGCCGATAAAAATGGACAAAAGAGGCGCACAATAAAATATTTAATTCTAAATTTGCAGGTGGCTGTGCAAACATTCGATTTTCATTTTTTTGAACATTGTAAAATACTGTAACGAAGTACCGCCAACATAAATTTTTGCCGGCAAGTACAATTGGAAAAACTAAATTGTGGAATTTGGTCGAATTGGCAGCCTAATTAAAGTTAAAATCTACATTTTGTGTTGAAAGCGAGCAGCTTTCTTGTGTTAGGGAAATATTTCTGTATTATTATTGACAATTATTTGAATAGTTCTGAAAATTTTGTTGTAAAATTTTAATGATTATTTTTTCGTTACTACCTATAGTCATTTCCAAACGCGAGTGTATTGGCCAGATTACAAAATAAAATACCTACTCTTGCATTTAAGATTTCGGAATGGAAACGTTCTTTGCAAGCCACAGAATGGAATGTGATATATGAGAAGTTAATTGAGCATTTGAGATCGCGGCCTTCAAATATTATCCATTGAACTCAAAGGTTGTTTTGAAGAAGAATTATGTTTCTTGTGTTGAGAAAAACGCTTTGATGTTTTGTGCGTCAACCTGGTATTTTGAATAATAATACACAATTCCCAGAGAATTAGGGTGCCGAATTTATTTGTCCGCAAATGTTTCTGTGAATTAGTCATTGTTAACTAACCATTGCATTACGAAAGAAATTTTACTAAAAAAAACATGTATTGTTTGTTGTCCTTTGTTTGTCTTCCTTAACCTGAAATTTTGTGTGCATTATTTCTAGATGAGAACAAGAGAATAGTTTCGTGGAAATATTGACGAAAGATCGTGGCTATGTTCCTTAAATATATAAATATTGAGATGTTTTTTTTTGGTTGTGCAGATACGAGAAGATATCCTGGCGTGCAGCTTGACCCCAAAGGACATTCGTCTTGTTCGCAGGAAGGAATCAGGTAGAGTGACTAACCCATTATGTGTGGATAAAACCTTCCCTTCTTTGTTCTTCGTAACTTGTTTGATTCTTGTTTATTGGGATCCTCTTTGTTTGTGTTGCCTTCTGTAGCCACGTGTTCTTTGCCCCCTTCAGTGTTTATGTGCAGGTTTGACCTGTAGTGCTGCCATGAGGGTTTACTCGTAAAATAGACAATCTTTACAGGAATAAACATGTTTATGTATTAGCATAGAAGAATGTACGAGTTTTATCTTATCACAGAAATGATATCTTGATCAACTAGAACCTTCGTCACGTCCAGCACCTTCATCTGATGACGTCTCATTTGTCTTTTTTTTCAACAGGCTTTTGTACTTTTAATATATCGATTACTGTGATCTTATACAATGTTCACTATTTTTGTGTTATTCATGTTGACTTTTATGCCACTGTCAACATATTTTTTTTGTTTACTGTTGTCATCGTTTAGTCAGCCATGAAGCTAGGTAGCAATTCTTATTAATTTATAAGAGAAATGACTCATTATTTGTGTATATATTCATTCATTGAATGAGGTAAGTGCTTCATTATGACTAAATAGTAAATAATCGTTCTTATGATTTTTTAAACACTAATTGTTGTATAGTATCTTTGAAGCTTTTGAATTGGTTTTATATGATTATCAACTTCATATCGTGTATCAAAATCACTTAGAAACAACTTTACTGCTCACTCTTCCTGAACGCAGTTGGTACTAGGAACAAATGTATGTACTAAAAACTGGCCTAAAAGACAAAAAGTGCGGTATTTCGTGCAATATGTTTAATTCAAGCTTAACATTAGAATTGTTTGCATCGTGGGCTGAAGACGACTTTTCGGTATCTTAAGTAACGTAATACTTTTCATGCTTGCTGAAGTCACTTTAAAGTAATACTTATCATTATCACTGTGGAAGTTTTAAATTAACTTATCCTGAGCGCTGTAGTCACCATAAGTAATATGACAGTATATGAGCCAATAATAATTCAAGCTTAACATTGGAGTTGTTTGAATCATGGGCTGAAGACGACTTTTCGGTATCTTAAGTAACGTAATACTTATCATGCTTGCTGAAGTCACTTTGAAGTAATATTTATCATAGACAAAAAGTGCGGCATTTCGTGCAATATGTTCAATTCAAGCTTAACATTAGAATTGTTTGAATCGTGGGCTGAAGACGACTTTTCGGTATCTTAAGTAACGTAATACTTATCATGCTTGCTGAAGTCACTTTGAAGTAATACTTATCATTATCACTGTGGAAGTTTTAAATTAACTTATCCTGAGCGCTGTAGTCACCATAAGTAATATGACAGTATATGCCAATAAGTTCTAATCCACAACCTCCGTCACTGTATGCAAAAATAAGCTGTATGGTAGAAGAAGTTTTGCCTACGAACGTGAACTGATGAATAGATTTCATATTTCTACCGTGTATTTGATTATTGCATCTGTAGATAGTTCTTTAAAGGTGGGTTTTATTTATGAGGCGGTGATTGTCTAGTAAGTTTCATTGATTTCTCTTGATGACTCATTTCAAGAGGCTGCTTCTATGAATAATCATTTTATCCATTCATTTCCAATGTGCAATAGGTATAAATTATAAATAAATATCTAATGCATTGCCCTGCTATTATTTGCGATGTTGTTGTCTAATGTTCTTAGCCAGGCAACAGAGCCGCTGTTGTGGCAGCCCCAAGGGAAGAGGAAGACTCAGGAGCACTTGGTGTGTGGGGTATGGTAACCATGCTACCACAGCCTAGCTACTACCACCACCACTAGCTACTTCTCCTACCTCTACTCTTGTGTCTCGACAGTACCTACTGCAGGAACCATGGACCTTTTGTCTGTGTCGAGCCAACACTCAATATTAACTCTGGGCTTGTGTGTGTTCTTACGTCTAGGTGCTTCAAGAGGCTTTGCCTTCGTGGAGTTTTCGACCGTTCATGAAGCTACTCGCTGGATGGAAGCAAAACAGGTATCCTGATGGCTGGCTGGCCGGCTGGTTGGCTGGCTCTCCTCAGGCCTACCGAGCCAAGCAAGCCCCTAAGTAGCTAGCTCTCTGCTGCTCAAGAACAAATCTTGTTCCTCCGCATCTTCTGCCAACCAACTTGCACTCATCAAGTAGCTACGTTTATTAATATCATCTCGGGCACTTGGCCTGAGATGCGTCACTAGCAATTCTTATTGGTCATTCTACTACAAAAATCCTAGATCACAGCATCAAAAGTTAACAGTTTGAACTTTCGTATTTAAAAAAAGTAAACCTTGTTTCTTCATAATCAATGAAGTTGGGTCTGGATAGATTAGGTGTTTGCTGATAGACGTTATGTTCAATTATCGGCAGATTTTAAGTAACTCAATCCCTGCCCGAGTTCTTCTCTATCTCATAAAGTTCAGTTTAGCTTTGTCCCTAATCTGTAGAACGTTTGTAAACTTAAGTATTATAAACTTTTTGCCTCGTGCACGCTCATATGGTGTAGGGTGTGAGAAAGGTCAGACCTATAATGACTGTCAATGAACAGTAAAACTTATCACGCGATCCCATAGATCGTCTTTCCTACAGTGCTTAAGATCTTTGTAAGCTGTCACACGGCTCCACGTACCATAGTAATGGAAGACGCTCCGACAGCAGACCTCCAGCTGATCTTATCTCGTGAAGGGTCCCATGCCAGGGCTTTGGCAACCAGTGCTCTCTCCCTCTCACAACTCCGCGTCAACAACTTAACCGTGATATACTTTGATTAATTTTCCTCCTTAAACCTATCCACATTGCCATTTTTAGTAAATTAATTTTAATAACTCACTCCCATTTCTAGACTCGTTTTTGTATCGTAAAATCAATCCCATTAAAGATGTTATTCATGGTTTATCTGTTAACTTTTATGACGATGTCGGACGTAAGTTGTTGACGAGGTGTTGGTGAGAGCGAGCGACGTGGCGTGCGTGTGTCGGATGATAATCGCGCTGTTGTCCCACTTGTTGCAGGGCGTGCTGGTGCTCTACGACAACGTGCGCTGCTCTCTGCAGTACAGCATCCCGAAAGACGGCACCGACAGGTCGGGTAAAGGCACCCACGACTGGATCTGTCACAGGGTTAGTATTCAGTAGGAGTTTTATCAATATTTGTTTCGGTAAATTTCCAAGTTACATTAACGGCGTGTTTCCGCTCCAGACAGGTTTTATTTGCTTATTTTAATTATTTTAATCAATGGCAAAATAACTTGTCTCATTCTGAGATCTGATTGTTCTATTGCATTTTATTAGTATTTATTAGACTTTACTGTCTCCAGGAATTCGTTCTTATGTCTACGAAATTGCCTTATCAGTTTGTTTTGTCTTTAAGCAAAAGAATTTTTCGGTGCCCTTTGGTCGTTTACTTACATGTTACTATATTAGTAATATTTTGTCCAATTGTGAAAAAAATCATTTGTGAGTGCCATCTGACAATCTTCATTAAATAGTTTCATGCAAGCTTTGGAATCTATTTTCTATATCAATGTCGACATAATAATGTATGTTAGATTTACGCTACAAAGAAGTATCTGCAAAACAACAAAATAAAATCGTCATGTTCAATCGGTGCCTTGAATGATCTAATTTAGGAAGGCGTGCAAGTAGTCATACTTATTTATTTATTATTTTTTTTTTGTTCAGTGCTACGTACAAAACTTCAAGCGTCGGGACAACTGCTTCAAGTGCTCCGCTCCACGCCACTCTGCTGAAGGCGGCGGCGACGGCGGTGACGAGGCCTGCAACTACCCCACCTACAGTAAGTCGTCCCTCATTGGGTGCGGAAGCTGTCTCTTATACACATCTAGATGTGTATAAGAGACAGGACACACACACTGAAAATCACACTCTTNTCATTCAGTTTTAGATTCAGCTGAATCATTCAGTTTTAGATTCAGCTGAATCATTCAGTTTTAGATTCAGCTGAATCATTCAGTTTTAGAATCAGCTGAATCATTCAGTTTTAGATTCAGTTTTAGATTCAGCGGAATCATTCAGTTTTAGATTCAGCTGAATCATTCAGTTTTAGATTCAGCTGAATCATTCAGTTTTAGAATCAGCTGAATCATTCAGTTTTAGAATCAGCTGAATCATTCAGTTTTAAATTCAGCTGAATCATTCAGTTTTAGATTCAGCTGAATCATTCAGTTTTACATTCAGCTGAATCATTCAGTTTTAGATTCAGCGGAATCATGAGCAGAAGCTGAATCATTCAGTTTTAGGTAGTCGTGAGAGTGCGTTTTATGACAACGATTGGTGTTTATCATAACAAAAATTTTATCCAATGCAGGGCGTTATTTGCCGGTCACTTGTAAGGAAATCTTGGCGTGCCTCATTAACATTGTCTAGTCGAAAATAAATTATATACAAATCACATTGCGTGACTTGTAGAAATTGGAGAAGAACCTAATGCTCGAAAATGCACCTGAAGTCTCGAAAACAATTTTATGTTCGAGACTTCAATTTTATGTTTATGTTTGTCAATTTTATGTTGCGATTGTACAGATAAATTGCACTCCTTAACTGACATATTTACACCTTGTAGGAGGTTGAGGAGGGTTTATTTTTAATCTACACCAATAACAATATTCTAACGTCAGAAAATAGACAGTTAACAAAGTCCTGCAAATTCAATGATGAAAAATCTGTTACAGGCCCAAGTTAAACTATAGTGAAGTGTTAATTTTTGATAGTGTGTAAATTTTCAGTGCTGTTCTAACGTGTGCCTCCGTCGTCAGGTCGGTGCGCATCGGCCGAGACCCGCTGACGAACATCTCCCGAACGAACATCTCCCGTGGCGTGTGTTTCGTGGAGCTCGACTCTGTCTACGACGCCATGACGCTCTTCAACAAACTCATGAGCCGCCCTCCCACCATTGACGGCAAGCCCGTGAGTCCTTATGTGTTGTCCAGTCCATTGACGGCAAGCCCGTGAGTCCTTATTGTTGTCCAGTCCACCGCGGTCGGCAAGCCCGTGAGTCCTTATTTGCTGTCCAGTCCATTGACGGCAAGCCCGTGAGTCCTTATTTGCTGTCCAGGCCACCGTGGACGGCAAGCCCGTGAGTTCTTATGTGCTGTCCAGTCCACAGTGGACGGCAAGCCCGTGAGTTCTTATTTGCTATCCAGTCCACCGTGGACGGCAAGCCCGTGAGTCCTTATTTGCTGTCCAGTCCATTGACGGCAAGCCCGTGAGTCCTTATTTGCTGTCCAGTCCATCGTGGACGGCAAGTCTAGTTTAGCTGCAGCTTGCTGTTAACTTCAGCTGCAGATATAAAAAATCCTACAAATTCTTTAATTGTTGGTTTACAGGTTTGTCTTCGATAAATAAAGCTGAAAATTACTTCATTCAAGGTAAATCTTAGTCTTCGTTTTGTTGGCGCCATTCAAAAATATTGTTAATTTACTTCTAATCTAAACTAATTAAATAACCTGATGTAGGTATATATAATTTTTCTCATCAGTTTGGGTATTAATAGTTTTACATTTCATGTTTATGTCTGAATCTTTGATGAAGCGGCAAAAAAATGTATTCATATACCCTTGAAATCAAATCTTTTAGCGCTACCAATTATTTAATTGCAGATCAACATTTCGTACTGCAAACTGAACAACCACAGCAACAATCAAATGGATAAACCCACTAACTCAGAGTGTGAGTATTGCGTGTATAACGTCTATCATGAAAGTTTTTAGTGTGAAGAACATTTCTGTTTCGTGTTGCAATAATAAATACAATTTGTTAGTTCCTCACTGAGTTTAAGGCTGGTTTTATAACTAGCTAACTAGCTACTTCAGCTTTCCGGTTACTTCTCTTAGCAAGTCACTTACTGCTCAACTTGAGTTATTTTCTGGTAGATTTTCGTTTTGACAACTCAAATTTTTCCAGCTATAGTCTAGTCCTTAATATCGTTGCCTTACTTGTGCTGTTATTGAATAATGTTTTCAATATTCATTGCTTCTGTTTGGGTCTCAACGCCCAAACATTGTCCGATGTAGTATCAATCTCCCACAAGGTAGCAATATTTTATCTTTATGTATAAACTTTCATTTTCTTGGTTCATAATTGCTTTAAATTTATATTGATTTATAGATTATATAATAATTCTAAATATTCTGTTGTCCGTGTTTCATGAACAGACTGGGGTCAGAGCCACAGTGGTACGTCAGATCAAGCTCTCCCTGACACGAACAACATTGCTGAGCTGGCAGAGTACAGCGCCTCACTGTACGCTAAGACTCCTGAAGAACACGCTACCTACGTACAGTACTACACAGAGTACTTCCAGTCGCAGCAGCACGAGCAGGTGTGTACAGTACTCCGTGTAGTATTAGCATGTGTATACAGTACTACATTGAGTACTTCCAGTCGCAGCAGCACAAGCAGATTGCTTTACGGGCAATAATGCTCCGAAAGATAGAAATTTCGAGTTATTCAAACAGGAAACGTGAGGAAATGAGCTTGCCATCATTCTAAAGAAGGCAGACAAAGCAGGGTTTACTTTTTGCTAGTCTAGTTATGATATATTATTTTTTTTCTGCATTGCTGTTTTATTGCTTTCTGTGAACGGTAAAAAATTGTTATGAAATTGCAGTGAAATATGAATCCAAGCAACAAATTTTGTTGAGCTCATACCGAAAATTTTTTTTTCATATGAATCATAACCCGTTTTATGTTCAGGGCACCACGCAGTCTGACTCAGCAAACGCTGCTGCTGCCGTAGCGCAGTCTGCCCTCAAAGCGATGCAACACAAGAGCAATAGTCAGGCATTAGTCGCCTCCACTACCACCTCCTCTACCGCATCTGCCACCACTGCCACCTCCGAGACTGCGCCGTCGGCCACTACTCCTGCAGCGTCCGATGCATCTGCTACCACTGCCGCATCTGAATATCCTCAGTATCGTGAGTGGACAAATAACGGTTCAAATTATCTTCTGTTGACATGATAAATTGTTGTTTCATGTCGTTGTCTGACTATAGTCTAGCGCTAGCCAAATTGTGAACAGCCTAAACCAAAATTATTTTGAAACATTTATATCATTGGTGACTTGATAGCTGCTCGGTATTTCTCCTTGATATCTGCAAGACATGATAAAAATAGGCACGTTACATTATGCCAATTTCCATGCATAATATCAAGATTAACCGTTTGAGCAGCCACTCCCGACGTAAGTACGTACCAGTATGACGAGACCTCAGGCTTTTATTACGACCCGTCCACGAGTCTTTACTACGACGCCAACACCTGCTACTATTACAACGCTGAGTCTGGTCAGTACCTCTACTGGGACGCTGAGAAGTCCACGTACCTACCAGCGCCCACCGCTGACCAGAACCAGGCCAACAAGAACATCATGCCTGGGGAGAAGAGGGAGAAGGATAAGGACAAGCAGGAGAAGGTATTTACTTTCGTATTTCACTCTGTTTTTGGTGATTCCTGTGGGGAAAATTGTCTAATTTTACATCAACGTGTCGTGTTCATGTCTTAGGTATTTATGCGTGACTTTGGTGAGCGGGTGTTTTTTAATTGATACTTTAAAAGTATACCAAATTTAACTCGTGTACCTGATGCACTTCACTTTACGATGGCTGTATTATTTCAGGTAGAATGTACTATTTTTGAATCATATTTGTATCAATTGATGATTGATATTTGTTTCAATTGTAGTGATGCGTCTATCTTTTTTGTTACACGAAAAATGCACTAATGATTAATCCAGGTAAAGGTGGCTAAGAAGATTGCAAAGGACATGGAGCGGTGGGCCAAGGCGCAGAACAAGCGCAACGATACAGGCAAAGGAGGCAACGAGACGCTCCCTGGGGGCGCCAGCACGGATGGCAGCTCCAGCGGCACCGCCGACGCTGCCTTCGCTGTACTCCTGGAGAGACGGTCCAACCCTCCTGAAAAACTCTCCCTTAAAATGCACCTCAAGAAAGATCCTCCGTCCCTTGTGAGCTTTTCTTTTTATAAAATTCCTCTTATTTATTTTCTTGAGACTTTCTTATAATGCTAAATTCTTGCAAACGTTTGCTTGTCTATGAATATTTTTAGCTTTATGTATTAACTACGAGTGTTAATTTAATTAAGAAAATTCAAAAATTTAAGTTATAACGCATGTCACGTTTTATTTCAAGCTTTAAAATTATTTTAGGTTAACAGAATACCGCGTAAGATGTTTGACAAATGCAAATTATTATTTTATTGGTCAGATGGCTGGCGGTTTATTGAAGAAGTCTGGTTTGGTAGCGGCTTACGGAGGTGACCAGAGCGACAGTGGCGACGAGGAAGCCAGTAATGTGGCCCCGCCGCCCCCTCAGCAGCCCCCTGCTGACACCCCAGCTAAAATTAATGATAATGAATTCCTGGACCTCGTCAAGATGGCGTGTCTTTTGTGCAAGCGCCAGTTCCCCAACAAAGAAGGCCTTGACAGGTTGGCTTGGAAGAAAATAATTAAGGGAACTCCTCAAAAAATTCTCGACTATCTTACACAATCGTTTTTCAACTGATCGCAATTTAGTTATTGTTGCAATGTTTGAAATGTGTTGTATTCTTGCCATTTTTTATGTGGAATGCTCGTCTTTTTCTGAACAATAGCTAACAAATTAATGAAAAAGTAATTATTTGAAAAATCAAACAATGATTAAAGTGAACTATAATTCAATGAATGTTTCGACTGTTGTATAATTGAACTGTGTTCGACAGGCACGTGCTACTGTCAGGCCTTCACAAGAGCAACCTGGAGGCTCTGAAAGGCAAGGATAACGAAGCCGAGGATACCAATTCTGCTCAGTACAGAGACCGAGCTCAGGAACGTCGCTTGAAGTACGGCTTGCCTAGTAAACCTCCTCCAAATAAACTCAAGGTATCATTAATTTACCTGATGAGTTCTTTCAATTTATTCACTTTAATCCCAATACCTTTATGTCCCCCAGAAAGTAATGATGTAGTCATCAAAGTTAAGAAATGTATTTCCAGCCATCTTTACCGTATTTACCATAGATGTTAAATGGATGTTACCGTATTTACCGTGATGTTAAATGCTATTTCTCTGATTATATTTTGTAGAATTTTCAACCAAAACTTATTTGTGTGTATAACGATAATTGCTATGTTGTTGTGTGCTACGAGCTAAATAAATTAATTTATAAAATTGATACGTGTTTTCTCCAATATTTTAATTTTCAGGAAAAATACATGTCAGTACGGGAGGAAATAAGCGCCATCAGCTACGAAGAACCAACTAAACGCGGAATCGGAGCAGAAAATATTGGTAACAAACTCCTGAAGAAGATGGGCTGGAATGATGGACAGGGTCTGGGCAAAAGCAATCAAGGCCGAACGCAGATCATCGAAGCGGAAAGACGCGTGTCGTCGGTAGGCTTGGGTGTACAGTCGAGTAGCTATGCTGTCGTCGGAGACTCGTACAAGGATTGCGTCAAGAAAATGATGTATCATCGATATAAAGAGCTCGAGTCTCAAGGAAAAGATGACGAAGATGAGGACGACGGCAACAATTCGTAAAGTTAAAAGTAACTGTTTATTCATTCACGATTTTCCTTGTAGAAATCTAATAAGTGAGATTCTTTATGCTCAACTGTTTTATCGCCTATAATACGAAATTAATTTTATCGGGTATCGGAATGTGTGATGTGTATATTTTCTGTTCATTTTCATGTGAATGCTCCTATTTCAATCTCTGAAATAAGCTTGCCTATCCAGAATTATTTTTTACTCGGTTCTTCACCAGAAACTGTATAGCAGTTATAAGCGGCATTGGCGCATTAGATACGAGGCGCTATACCAATTTATGAATTTGCTTTAGCAACACAAAAAGCTCGAACTACTGCTTCATGAACCATATTTAATATTTATTAATACTTTTTTGGGTACGATAAGTTAAGAATTATTTGTCTCCCTAGCCCGGTTGTCGAAATAACGTACGATATCTTCCTGCCGTTTCTTGAATACTTTTCTTCGGGTCACGATTGTCTGTAAACTTTTCACCTTGTTGCTCAGATTTCCTTGTGTATTGTACAATTAATTTTGCCGTAACAATTTATAGAAAGTTCAGTGAGTTGATGCCAAATCTTGAATAAAATTAAACTCTGCCATGTGAGAATTTCTACCAAACTCAATAATTCAACACCGCTTCTCGACGGAGTACTTAACCTATTAATCGTCAAGATTAATATGGTCGTCAATCTTGGATGTGGTAAGCAAGAATATCGAATAATATGGGCATTGTCACTAAACTGTGGAAAATTGACAATTTCGCTATCCAATGTGTCGAGTATCCTGAATTTTGTTTTAATCGTGTCCTTGTTGCGTGAATTTGTATCCCTTCAGCTCATTGAGATAAATCTGTGACGTAAATTTTTGTTTTTCATCTTGGTATTGTCAATATTTTGTTGTTATGGTTCCTCGTGATCTGTAACATAGGAATACTTGCGTCGTTCCCGAGACGAAGGCTCCGAGATCATCGCTAGTTACACGACAAATCTTGTTGTTTAGGTGCTTCTGAAGATTCGATGTTGGATTCTCTGCGTTGCAGTAGTTACATGGCATTTGTAATAAATTAGACGTAGGCTCTCTGTAAATGCGTCATTAATAGACTTATTTACTCACTTTTTTTTTTCCAGTGGTCACAAACTTGACCTATTCATTTTGGTTGATATGTTTTTGCCAACCTACATTACCATGTTAGCTCATCTCTTAGGCTGACTTAGTAAAGGCGCTAAGGCTGGGCAGCATAATTAAATTTCGTTTGTTGATCGACTTCCGTACGGTTACTATGTTTTCAACACCCAAAACCAGTGTATTATTGAATAGAGCAACATTATCGTATATTCCTGTGTAAATAAAATTTGCATTATATTTAATCATCCCATTCTGCCTTTTCAATCACGAATGATGTTAATTTTAAAGAACGGTAGAATGTTTTACAGAGTGTTGGCTCGCGGGCTAGTTTGAGAGTTACATGTGGCCAACGGCTGCGCTCCCAAAGCACATGGCCGCATGGCGTTGTGGTTTATTAGTGGTTCGGGATATCGTTAACAAATTAATTGCGATATTTTTTATGCACGACCGTTCCCGACAGTATCTGTTATTTGTTAAAAACTGCAAGCTTTATTTTCGCCAATTAATTATTAATTTATAGGCATTCGCTGAATTTGTAATGTAGTATTAATAAATTCTTGTCGGCCTGAGTTGTAAGTTGGAGCACGGACGCAAACTGCTCAGCCCTAATTTTTATTTTTAGCGCATTTTCTCATTTATGGAAAAAATTCACTATTGTGCTCGCCATGTCCGTCTATCTGTCTGTCTTACCTGATCGAGCAAGGCAGCTGGAATTTCCCATATTGTACCAAACTTCAACTCCTTCTGAAAAATAAACCGAAAGCACAAAAACCCGAAAGGTAAACACAATAAAATAAATAGAGATTTTAATACAGATAAAGGAAAAAATAAATTAAAAATAACGAATTCAGCAAAACAGACTGGCACACCTCTGAGAGAGAAAGCCAGTTTATAAGGAATCACATTTGAAATAGTGATTTTGCTAAGTAAATACAAATGCTTATCCTTCGAAAATGAATTCACCAGTTTTTAGGTTGCTCAAATGACACACGTGCTTCCGCCGTGAACGCAACTGACTTTCTCCCTCACGGTCGTATTAGTATAAACTAATAGAGCACAAATCAGGAGGAAGTACTCAATTGTTTCTTCAACCCCACAATAAAGACAATGGGAGGTCAGCCATCCGAAAACGATGGAGATAAGAACGAACCCCAACATGTCCCAGACGAAGACGTGTTAAGTCCACTGAAATACGGCGAGAATGACAAGCAATCGCTGGGACTGGAGACTACCATGAGCAAATGGAAGCAAGATGGTGGCCCCGTCCATCAGTAGCCAGTAGCCACTGCAGTGCAGAAACCCATCCAACTCCCAAAACTAAGGAAGCATGACCGAAGCAGCCTGAGGCTGAAATGTCGAAAAAAAAACTTGAGCTCTAAGACTCGCTGTCGAAAATCCCAAAAAATTGAATTAATAATTATCATCATGAAGGAAAGGAAGGAACTGAGATTAGCTGGCAGTTAATTTCTTGTTATCTGGAATTGGAATTTGTATTGGGTGCGTACTGACCTCCGGTCACGACCTTTAAATCGGTCATACGCGCTGCATAAAATCTCTTTTACTAGCGTCGAAAAAGTAAAAGTTCACGTCACACTAGTAAATTAACAAAAAAGTTCAATTAATACTCATACACAACAATCCTAAAAAGCTGAAACATTCCGTTATGCATGCCAATATCCTAAAAAAAAGAAACAATGTACTAAAACATTCTGCACGGTCACCTTTGAATTCCCACTCTCCCCTCTCTCAACCCTCCACCCCTCAAGACCCCACTCTTATCATCCTCCTCCTCCTCTCCCTCAACCTCCACACGCTCTCCAAATATCTCTTCACACTCTCAAACATAGCTATTGTTGCTCCCTCAGACAGACCCACAATCTTTGCCATCCACTCTTCGCTTGTTCTCTCGTGAAGCCTACTTTTACTTGCAACAAACACAAGCAACTATAATTAAATCTTAACTACGAAAGTGGAGTTAATACATTGTCGCGTTACGACATCCCTGCCATATCTGCAGTCTTAAACTAACATTATTACGCGGCGTCGCCGCACGGGCGACATTAAAAAATAGACCATTTGCGGCACGCAGCCAAGCTACCAGTGATTATTCCCTTGATTTAGCGGACAGTTATACTAAGATCCCTGAATACGCACAAATGTTTGAGCCGTAACTAAGCTATTAGCAGCGGACGCTACACTTTACGCAGATTCAAGTTGACGGCTTGACAGTGATGAAGGAAACTTTTCGCCGAAGTCTGAGTACTATTTATACATTTTCTTGAAGGTAGAGTGGCAATTAGGCAGTTTACCTTAACATTTTACTATAAGCTTTAATAAACTGGCGGTAAATGACATAGGCTTAACTTAAATATCGGTCACAAATGACGACTCTGCCTGTGCCTTATCATCGTGCAGCGAACCTCCAGTATCGCCACATTCCCCCAGCGCGTATATAGTAATTCATAGCTACTCCCTGGCTCTCCTGCAGATTAGGTCCTAACCCCTGCTATCATTAGTCCATTGTACATACGTTCATTAGAAAATATTTCTATTTATAAAATTGTAGGCTATTCTTTCTCGAAGTTTCCTGTTGCTGCATCTATTGTAATTTCGGCTTTAATTGTGCACTCTAAATCGTCCGAATATCTATTTGTGCCTTTATGATAAATGGCAGTAAACCGACTACTCTGAGACCACATAGGGCTCAATTTTCACGAAATCCCCGGCATGGCTTTTTGATAACTCAAAAAAAATTTTCGCACTTCATACAGATATATCTGTTGTGACAAAAATTTGTGATTAATCTTCCGTTAACAAACAAATATAAGAATAATCTCATAAATTATCGCCGAAATTTATTTTGATTTCCAAAATTAGCAACTATATTTCCACTGCTCAATGGGAAATAAATGTCAACTGATAAACAAACGAGACAGTTTTACATCAATAACTCTCTTTCGCTCTCTCACAGATTATTTCATAACCCCAGTCACCCTTATTCACATTTATAATTAATGGTATCACTTTCGGTCGATGAAATTAGGTTATTCCTAATTTGTATTTCTTAATTTCAAACCTCGTAGTTTTCATTACAATTCTAGATTGCATTTATTTCCTTCATTATTATAGCTTCCTAAGCCGATCTTCTGCCTTAAAACTATAATTTACTTGATACTTATTAAGACCTCAACGAGTTCAAAATTGGTGCGCTCAATAAAGTCATGCAATAATTTTTTTTAATTTACATTATGAACAAATAAGCAATGAAAACGCAGAACTGACAAATATTGATGATAAATCTACCACAATTGAAAAAATATATGCAGATTTGACGGTAACACATTCATTATAGCTTTCAGTACATAAAATTGGCAATTAAATTTTAGTTCGGTTACTCAAAGAATTTGCTAAAAAAATTTAAAAATAATTTAATGAGAAATATACAGACAATCGCCACATGAATCGAAAAATGCACTTTTCATAAACCTTCATTTGCTTTTGAGACGAAATTTATCTAAGTAAATATGAAAATTTTATTTGTAATATTAAAATTTGTCTCGACGTTTCAGATGATTCGCAGGCTTCTATTTTTGTGAACCTGCTCCGGCTGACCGGTCCGAGTGCAGGTTTTAGTCCATGTTGCGGGTCAGTTTTATTCAGTACTCTATAATTCTTTCGTTGCGTCGCCGCACGGGCGACAGTGAAAAATAATACTCCTTCACGCAGAAGGAAGGAAGATATGCCAGCCGGTCTTATAATTTTGCGCATATTCATATTGTAGTCACTGAGTACGTACAAATTCTTGAACCGTAACTAAGCTATTAGCAGCGGACGCTACACTTTACGCAGATTAAAGTTGACGATTGACAGTTATGAAGGAAATTTTAAGCCGAAGTCTGAGTACTATTTACACATTTTCTCGAAGGTAGAGTGGCAATTAGGCAGTTTACCTTAACATTTTACTATAAGCTTTAATAAACTGGCGGTAAATGGCATAGGCTTAACTTAATTATCGGTCACAAATGTCGACCTTGCCTGTGCCTTATCATCGTGCAGCGAACCTCCAGTCTCGCCACATTCCTCCAGCGCGTATATAGTCAATTCATAGCTACTCCCTGGCTCTCCCGCAGATTAGGTCCTAACCCCTGCTATCATTAGTCCATTACACACACGTTCATTCGAAAATATTTCAATTTACAAAATTGTAGGCTATTCTTTCTCGAAATTTTAATAATAATAATGATAATAATAATATTAATAGCGTTTCAGCGTCTATTAGGCCGTAGGCCTGTAGCCGATTGTTGACATCGCAGAGCATTCACAGCGTTTTGTGGCCTCACACTCGCAATTCACTGCTCCAAACTGGCGCACAGAGCTGGGTGCGATAAATCTTGGTACTCTGAACTTTAACCGCTGGGCCAGTGAACTCTAAGGCCACGTAGGGCTCGATTTTCACGAAATCACCGGCATGGCTTTTTAATAACTCGACATTTTTTTCGCATTTCACACAGATATATCTGTTGTGACAAAAATTTGTGATTAATCTTCCGTTAACAAACAAATATAAGAATAATCTCATAAATTGTCGACGATATTTATTTTGATTTGCAAAATTAGCCACTATATTTCCACTGCTCAATGGGAAATAAATGTCAACTGATAAACTACGAGACAGTTTTACATCTTTTGCTCTCTCACAGATTATTCCATAACCCCAGTCACCCTTATTCACATTCATAATTAATTGGTATCACTTTCGGTCGATGAAATTAGGTTATTCCTAATTTGAATTTCTTAATTTCAAACCTCGTAGCTTTCAATACAATTCTAGAATGCATTTCTTCCCTTCATTATCCCTTCCCTTCGATCACTTGACTGCTCACCATCTCATATCAGATTGTCAACATGGTTTTATTGCCGGCAGATCCTGCACCACTAACTTATTATCTACGTTGAACGATTGGACTCGCCTGCTGGACGAAAGGGAGCCAGTGGATGCATTGTACCTCGATTTTGCCAAAGCATTTGACAGTGTTCNAAAAATTCATGTGACGTCTATTTGTATATTTCTTGTTAAATTATTGTTCAACTTTTTTTAGCAAATTCTTTAAGTAACCGAACTAAAATGTGATCGAAAACTAACCAGCCATATATATATATATATTTATATATTGAAAAATATATTTATATATATTGAAATCTGTATTGAACGTTTTACTGACAAATCTGCACATACTTTGTCAATTGTAGG